ATGGACCATGCCGGGTCGGGTCAAGTACATACCAGAAATAGTTATGGACTTAGACACGTTATCCAACAGATGGGCCATCCAAGAAGAATCATATGGACTAAGAATATATGGATGGGCTTTAGGGTAAGGCCCATATGAGGGTTTGGGCCCAATTTCGAAAATTGGGCTATAGATGGGCCATAACTAGGCCTTGAGGATTATGAGAGGTTAGACCATTGGAATGCCAAATGTTTGGACTGGACTAAATGGTTGGGCCTTAAGGTAAGACTATGTAGAGGTTTGGGACCAATTTAGAAAATTGGGCCATATGTTGGGCTTTCGTTCATAGTTTGACTTTTAGGCCTTGAGCTCGAATCAACCTATGATGGGGGTAAGGTAGTCTTTTACCCCAAGCATGCACTTATGGATATGTGCTGGAACCCAATTATTGATTGGGTGTTATTATGATGTTGATAGTTCGGGAATCTGTCATCCAACAGCTACAGTTTTGTCCGCGGGACTTCAGTAGTGCGAGGTGAGTTACCTTCTAGTAGAGGTGGGTCTAAGGCAACAATGTCGGCCCACCAGTACGTGATTATGTTTGAGATGATTATCTGGTTTGCCACTATCTGATATGTTTTATGTGGTAGGATGCTATGATATATGTGTTAGTAGTAGTAGGAGTGAAATAGTCCCCAGACACCGATTGAAAGATACCGAAGGGGTAGAAAGTACCCATACATGTCTAGTAGTATGTTCGTGATATGTTATTATGTGGTAGTGGTAGGGGTGAAATAGTCCCCAGAACCGGTTGAGATAAATCAGAGGGTAGGTTAGGATCCAGATATGCCTGACAAGGGTAGGTCGGACACCCCAGTATGTCTGACAGGGGTAGGTTGGGCACCCCGGTATGCCCAACATGGGTAGGTTGAGCACCCCGGTATTCTCAATAGGGTAGGTCGGCTACCTAGTTATGCCTGACAGGGTAGGCCGGGCATCCATATATGCTTGGCAGTATGTGATTATGTGGTATGATGGGGGAACTCACTAAGCATTGTGCTTACGGTTTTTGGTTTTGGTTTCAGTAACTTCGTTTTCAAAGGATAGGAGCCGGCGATCGCAGCACATCACACAATGTTTTCCGCACATGAGATCTTTGGGATTACACTTTGATATTGTTTTATGATATCATGTTTTGATTATTGACACTTTGGTTTTGGCATGGGATGTTATTATGAATGTTTTCTTATACTATTGGTTTTATAATAACCTAATTAAAAATGAAATTTTTGGTCTTGAATTTTGGGATGTTATAGATTAGCTACGGAATATGCTTTCCCTTAGAAATTCGTAGGTAACTAGCTACGAATTTTTTTTTTATTTTCGGTTTTTCGGGCACCAAACGTTGTTTTTTTCGGTTCGTTTTTTTCAAACCTCTATTATACATGGTTATCTATACTTTCACCAACTTATAGCTATTAATATCGTTCATAAAGTCGTATGCACCTTCGGGATCTATTGCTCGTTTCATGGTTTAAGATTGTAACACCTATACTTTCACCTACTTTGTCATGGGTTATGTTTGTATATGTATATTTATATAGATGAATGAGTTATGATATATATGTATGTACGTATATACCATAACACATTCATGTATATAAACATACATATACACATACACATTAAAATACATACACATACACACACATACACACACACACACACACATATATATATATAT